TACGGTGATCATTCTCCTCTAGCTTTCTCTCGCAAGCTGTTATGTGCTGACACAACTCTGGAGGATCTATGGCCATGTCGTAATGTCAGGATTACAAGTTGATCCAGCACGTACAACTGTATCACATCTAGGACTGAAAGGTAACGTCTTACCGGGCCTTAGAAAGGCTGGACTGAACGTGCCAGAAAATAGTCAGAATACTTGCCGAGGTCGGGGGTACAGAATGAGACACAACATTTAGGGAAAGCCAGAAGTCAGGGATACCAGAATACAGGAAAGTCAAACAAAGCCAAAGCCAATAACCAGAAGTAAACGCTCAGAAACATACTCTCAGACAACCACTAAGGGAAACCACAACAGGGCAATGAGGAAAAGGCAAAAGGAGTTTAAATAAGCCTATTTCAGCTCTGATTGGCTGAACCCGACCTCACACGCACGTCAACATCGTCCATGCCGTGGGCGGACGTGGGGCTATAAACTGGTGTGGATCCGCAGGGTTAGGGCTATGGCTAGGGGTATGGTTATGGTTAAGACTAGGGTTAGGGGTAGGGGTGGGGTTAGGGATTAGGAAATTCCCGAAGTTCTGAAGTCCTGAAATCCCAAAGTGGCGAATTGCCAAAGTCCCGAACCAAATTTTTTGCCCATGCACATTCCTAGTGTCTATGTATCTGCATGTGTGCCAGTGTGTGTATATTTGTGTATATGTGCATACATCTCAGCATTTCCCCAACACTACACACAAATATACTCCTGCATCCAAATATCAACACTACATAAAAACACACCACCTATTAAAAAAACCACACTACACAACAATGCACACCTGCTTTCAAATGCCACCACTACATGCAAACACACTCCTACATTCACTCACACATACACCATACAAAAACATGCTTACATTCAAACACACAAACACTGCTCAGTGCTAAATACTTTAAAAAATACAAACACTGCTCAATGCAAAATACACTTTTAAAAACATTTGTGGGTGTTTTTTACATTTTAAAATTGGGGGACGGGTGTCAAATATAAAATCCGCCATGGGTGCCTAATGCTCCAGGTACGCCTGTGATCATGCCACTCCACGCTTTACCCAAGGAGAATTTTATCTTATATACTACACTATATAATTTTTTTATCTTTTCTTCTTATATGTATATAGGACCTCTCATAAGAAACAATTACTAGATACACAAGACTACACTACATCCTTGTCAAGGTCAATTACCTTAACACGCAAATAATGGAGCATTATACACAAAACAAGACGTATTACCGGGCTTTAGAGTGGCTGAAATTAAAGTATATATATGTGTACAGAGAGATGTATAGAATCATCAGACAGTCCAAGGTCAGGATTGGAGACTGAACGATAAACATAGAAAGGTCAAGGACACCAGAAGAACTGATAAACAAGGAGCACTGCTGAAGGCAGAAACCAGAAAAGTCAAAACTAAAGAAACATGTTATCGGGCTACAAAGACCAAGGCAAGGAAGTAATGTCAAAGGGTGTAATAAATAGATCTAAATGTGAGCTGATAGGCTAGGGAACAAATTGGGGTCATTAGTGAGCAGTTATAATAGGAGTGCTGTAATGGTATTAATATAATGATTTGCGTCATAAAATAAAGCATGAGTTTAATGCTTTAGAGGCACCACTAGGGGCAGTGTGTAGGATTCCGTAAGCCATGTGCTTCTGGGAGTGACATCACAGGCCTGCCTAGTTAGGAATACACTGAATAAAAACCAGATGTAGGAAGGATGGAGTCTTTTTTTTTTTGCCTTACCTGACTAAGGTGTAGTACCAGCTCTGACTTTACCCCATCCAAAAGGCTGTGGCCTTGTAAGTAATATTAATCAATTGTAACATCTAGCTAGCATGTGTTACTATTATTATTTTATTATTTATATAGGGGTCCCCAAGAGGAAGGCTTAAGGGCCAAAACTTTGGGGTTTTCAGTTCTCCTGCTCCTGGTTAGTATACCATTTTTTATGGGTGTACGTAGGCCATGTAGGGACTGACAGAGGGGGAGGGTACAGGGCATACATGAAAACGAGCCTTGCCGCCGCATTCATTATAGATTGCAGCGGTGAAATCTGGGAACACGTAAGACCACTGAGAAGGGGATTACAGTAGTCAAGGCGAGAAAAAACAATGGCATGGACCAGCACCTTTGTTGCGTCTGGTGTTACATAAGGTCGGATGCAAGCTATGTTTTTGAGATGGAAGTGGCAGGATTTGGCGATCGACTGGACATGAGTGGTGAAGGAGAGGTCGGAATCAAAGAGAACACTCAGGCAGCGAGCTTGAGAGGTAGAGATGATGGTGGCGCTGTGGACTTGGGAGGGAGACAGATACAGGAGTAGCAACACTTGAGGGAGAAAAGTTCTGTTTTGGACAGGTTGAGTTTAAGGAAGTGAGTAGCCATCCAGTTGGAAATTGCAGAGAGGCAGTCAGAGACACGAGTCAAGATGGGCGTAGAGAGATCAGGAGAGGACAGGTAGATTTGCGTGTCATCTGCATAAACTTGATAATGGAAGCCAAAGGAGCTGATGAGTTTACCAAGGGAGGCAGTATAGATAGAGAACAGTAGGGTAACAAGGACAGAACCCTGGGGAACATCAACAGAGAGGGGTTGGTGAGAAGAGGCAGAGCCAGAGAAAGAAACACTAAAAAAGCGTTGGGAGAGGTAGGAGGGGCACCAGAAGTATCCCGTAGACTAAGATTACGGAGAATGAGAAGAAGCTGTTGATGATCAACAGTGTCAAAGGCAGCAGAAAGATCAAGGAGAATTAGGACAGAGTAATGGCCGTGAGATTTAGAAGTGATTAAATCGTTGGATACTTTGGTCACAGCTGTTTCAACAGAGTGACGATTGCGGAATCCAGACTGAAGCGGGTCAAGCAGAGAGTTGGATTCGAGGAAGTCTGTCAATCTCGCATACACAACTCTCTCAAGGACATGGAGGCAAATGGCCGTAGTGATATAGGGCGGTAGTTGGATGGGGAGTTGGGGTCAAGGTTGGGCTTTCTCAGCCTGTATAAGTTTGTTCATGTTTAATCGATTGTTACATCTATGTTTGTAGTATTGTATTGTGTAATTATTCAAGTACATTGACATTCTGCTAGCATCTGTTACTTATTATTCTAATTATATTAAATATACATTTAATATTAAGTTTTGTGTATTTTCTATCCACATATTCGACCATAATTCCAAGAACTATAAAAAAATATTAATGATGTTACTTATTGATTGATTATTATATATCAATTAAAAGGTCAATATTTCATATTTAAGTCACGGCCACAACAAGAGCTTAGCCCAGAAGTAACATGAGTAACGTTCCCTTTAAGGGACCAGAGACAAAGAAGGCACATGCCCTCTAGCTGTTAACTGCATGCGTGATTTCGGCCAAATGTTGGGACACCACAAGAGAGGAAAGCCAGCGTCTGCACGGACAGCAGAAGCAGAGCTGTGGGGGCCAAGAGGAGTTATGACAATCCTCAGACAGAGATCATACTGCTCAAATGCTGAAGTGGGAGCTGAATTTTAGCTTTCCAAAAATGTTAATAAAAATGCCATACAAAATACAAAATGGTGCTATTTTTCATAGTGTATGTGGCAAACAACCACAATGGAATCATCATATTATAAATATTTTAAATATATATACACAATAGCTTCACAGTTAACATCAGTATTGCAGGACTTCTGCAATTTGCCAATCGTTATGTCGATTTCTCAGTTAGTTAGCAGCTTTTTTACTTTTTCTGCCCATTTTTTCTGCCCAAGAATAAAAGGAGAATAAAATGTCCAGTACAGAGGACACAAGTTAATGGGCTGGGTCTCAGGAGGATATATATATAATTTATATACCAATCATAGGTGCTTCCCACACATTTCACAAAAAGTTGACATAATACAGCGCTATCTGATTTAAGCTGAAAGAACCGTTTTAAATCGGGCAAAAGTCAGATAATAGTTTATAAAGATGTTTACATGTGCACCAAAATAGAATATAGTAGTATTTGATATAGGCCACTAGGTGGTAATATACATCAGAGATCAATAGGAATCCACAGACATATGAGGTAACAGTTCTTAATAAGAGTCTACAGCAGTGGTGGCGAACCTATGGCACGCGTGCCACAGGTGGCACGCCGCGCCCCCTCTGTGGGCACGCTGCCATAGGTCGCCGGAGGGAGGGTGCGCTCCGCCGGCGCATCCATAAGGCGGCACAAGTGGCCGCCTTAGGGCGCACCGGCCCGGCGGGCGCAAAGCCGGAGTGACCGGCAGGAGGTGAGCGCAGAGCGCATAGCGCTCCCTCCTGCCAGGCACTCTGTGTAGCGTGGCCGAGCGCACCGCGGTTTCCTGTACCCGGGCGGACGGAAATGAAGTGCTCACAGAGAGAGCACTTCCTGTCCGCCGGGTACAGGAAACTGAGCTCCGCGGCGCTCGGCCACGCTACAAGGTAGCAGACTGAGGGAGAGATGGGGGGGAGGGAGAAGGAGACTGAGGGAGAGATGGGGGGAGGGAGAAGGAGACTGAGGGAGAGATGGGGGGAGGGAGAAGGAGACTGAGGGAGAGATGGGGGAGGGGAAGGAGACTGAGGGAGAGATGGGGGAGGGGAGGGAGAAAACTGAGTGTGGGATGGGAGAAAAAAATGAGGGAGGGATGGGGGGAAAGAAAACAGAGGGGGTAGAGGGGGGACGACATACACACAGCACCCCTGCCCTACACATATCACCCCACAAAAAGACACACACACACACACACCACCCCACCACACACACATCACTCCACACACAAACACATACACTGTACCCCTCAATGCAGTGTGTGTACACTCAGCAGTCTGTCTGTGTGTGTACACTCAGCAGTCTGTCTGTGTGTGTACACTCAGCAGTCTGTCTGTGTGTGTACACTCAGTAGTCTGTCTGTGTGTGTACACTCAGCAGTCTGTCTGTCTGTGTGTGTATTTAGCAGTCTGTCTGTGTGTGTGTGTGTGTGTGTATTTAGCAGTCTGTCTGTGTGTGTGTATTTAGCAGTCTGTGTGTGTATTCAGCAGACTGTGTACTCAGCAGTCTGCTAAATACAGACAGACTGCTAAGTACACAGACAGACTGCTAAATACACATACAGACAGACTGCCGAGCACACACACAAACTGCTTAATACACACACAGAGATGTTAATTAGTTCGGACAACTGTATGAGTTGTTTTTTCTAAACTTAAACCTCAGTATTCAGGTTTAAATGCCGTTTTGGCACTTTGAGGGAAAACAATTGGCATGTATTACGGTTTGGGCACTCGGGCTCAAAAAGGTTCGCCATCACTGGTCTACAGTATATGAAAATCCAAAGTATGCAGTTCACAAAAATGACCACTTGATGGCAGTAAATACCAGGAAAAAGGTACATGATTAACATTATTACAGTTATCTCACTCACATTTAGGTGAGCTATTGGTTCATCAACGCTGACAGATTTTGATAAGAAAAATTTCTTGGATATATCCATGGCAGCATCATAAAAAAAACTTACAGTATGGTTATTTTTCCTTATCCGTGGCTAAACCAAACAAATAAAAACAAAACTATTTTCTTTATTTTTTTATTGTATGGATTGGGGCTGATGTGTACTATAGTCATAGCTGCCGCCCAGGAGTAGTGGGAGTACAGTGCTTAATTTTGTTTGTATTTGCTTTTGTATCACAGAGCCATGTTACAGTGTTGCCGCCCACCGCCATGTGTTCCCTATTAAGGGTTAATAACGTGTTGGGATTTAGAAAAATACCCTTCTCTGTCTCATTAGAGATTTTGTCTTCTAGCTAAAAGCAGCAATGTGAATTGTTAGTGTAGCACCCTGTTAAGAGGTTTTGCCTTGACGTGGCAGGAGAGCTTACATTTAAATGGCCGGGGATAAAAAAAACTCCAGTTATTTAAATGTGCGTAGGGATTTGGGAAATTGCTCATGTAACTTTTTTGGGGGTTTTTGTTCTAGCTAAATAAGTCCATAGCTTTATTCACTTCTATCATTTTATCAGAGTGGAAGCAATAACAGAGGCTTGTTGCACGGTACACGCAGGTAGCTGATTATTTTTGAATAAAAATGGTTTTATATCTGAAAACCCTTTAATTGCAGTTCCGTAATTGCTGTTTGACTGTTGAAACTCTCCGAATAGAGTGCCTCATTACTGTCATCATTAACTCATTCACTGATAGAGAGAATCTGGTAAGTCGACTGAAAGTCATTAGTGTCAGGTTTTCACATAATACGTTAAGTCGTTCGTTAAACCTGAAAACCGGCAGCAGGAAGGTTCTGTAAATATACATATCTTACCAATAAAATCAAACTGTTTTCAAACATGCTAAATGTCAACCCATATTCTACATTTTGGGGGGAAAAAACAAGTTTGAAAATTAAAAATTACACCATTGAATAAAAAAACAAAAAATCACCTATAACTTGTTTTAACCATTTTTCCATGTGATATTCCATTTATTTTAAATGTACTGTAATTGTTATAACAATCCAGTTCAATCTTGGCACAGGCAGGGCACACATTGCATTGGTGGAGGCGAAACCAAAAGTTATGTATAAAGAGTAATTCTGTGGTCACCATGGAAACCAATGGAATGCTTCACTTTTGAGAACTTTGGACCAGATTTCTTGTTTATACAATAGCCCCATTGTTTTTTCCTCTCTATGATCTCTTATGCTGAGTGCTGACTGACAGGTGCAATGGGCAGGGCAATATATAATATATGATTGGCAGGAACCAACATGGCGGCTTTCACTTCCATGTATATTTCATTCCTACTAATTGTAAACCTTTAACTATACAGATAGCAGGACTAGAGTTGAGCGGACACCTGGATGTTCGGGTCCGGCGGGTTCGGCCGAACTTTGAAAAAAAGTCCGGGTTCGTGATCGAACTTGACCCCAAGCCCCATTGAAGTCAATAGGGGCCCGAACTTCTGGGGATAAAAATGCCTCTAAAAAAGTCATGGAAAGGGCTAGAGAGCTGCAAAATGAAGAAAAATTGGGGTAAGAGTAGGACAAGTGCCCTGCAAACAAATGTGGATAGGGAAATCACTTAAAATAACATAAAATACCTAAGAATTAAAAATACAGCTGAGCCATAAAATAGCACTAGATGGAATCTTTGATTTTAGCTTGGAAAGAACATAAATCAAAACCTAAAGCATCGCTGTCAGGAGGATCACCAGAATTATCCATTTGAGAGAGGGTTGGAGTGCAGGGTATTCTCTTTCATTGTTCAAACTGAGCTCAACTCCTGATGCATGGAGAAAAGGCCTTCACAAGCCTCTGCTATTGTGTACATAGTTTATACTAAGTGACCCATAGATTTTGACATATATATATATTTTTTTAATTGGGGTAGCCCCCAAAATATTGGGACATATAAAAAAAAGAAACATTTGTGGCCTGCGCTGCATTTCTTGCAGTCCTGAGGCATGGAGAAATGCTCAACTCCTGATGCATGGAGAAAAGGCCTTCACAAGCCTCTGCTATTGTGGACATAGTTTATACTAAATGACCCATAGGTTGAGGAGGCGGTGACCGTGGCGGTGTAGGTGGAAGCAGTGGTGGAGGAGGAGGCCTGCGGTGCATTTCTTGCAGTCTTATAACGCCATCAGGTTTTTAAAACTGTCCGTCTCCAACAGACGGAATGACAGCATTTCAAAGGCCACGAATTTTGAAATGCTGGCATTCAGGTGCAGGGATTGCAGGTGGCTAGGGGGGTACTTCCTCTTTCTCTCCAGTGTTTGGGAGATGGACAGCTGAATGCTTCCATGGGACAGTGTGGAGATGCTGTATGTATGCTGTTGTGTACCGTGCCTATGCTGGTGCAGGAACCCACCCTCCGAGCCACTTGTGAATGACTGGCCTGATAACAGTGGAAATTACCCCTCTTCCTCCTCCTCTTCCTCCTGTGCCACATCCTCTTCCATCATCACCCAAAGCTTTTTTTTTTAAGGAGATATAGAAGTGGGATAGACAGGTGAGCAGCAGCAGGGTTAGAACGCCGAAAGCGCGCACAGCCGCTGCAGTGAATGTCACATCCTGTTCCAAGTTGTGGATCAGTCTGGTGATGGCTTCTGGTATCCAGTACTCTTTTTACTGAAGCTGCATCAGGGTCCTGGTATGTGGCCGCACAAACGCTGGTGCTCAACACCAGGGGGCGTGCGGTTATCCTGCACCAGACCCTGTTAATCCAGGCATACGGAGTCCCGGTCGTCCGACCGCCGCCCAGACAGTGTCTGGGTCCCGGTCACTGGACTGCTGCCCTCAATGTGAAACTTCGAATAACTCGCTAAATCTGTTACGAACCCAAACTTTGCAGTTCGGGTTCGCTCAACTCTATTATGGATACTTTGATCGCTCCATCTGTTACTTGGATAACTGGTAATTCTCGAGCTAATACATGCCGATGAGCGCTAGGGGACGGCCGCTCTGCTTTTGCACCCCGCTCCCTCTTATGCTGTGCTGGTGCCTCTGTGCGACCAGCGCCTCTTCCTCCAAACTGCACATGTCACTCGCATGACCTTGATTCTATGTGGGGTCTAGAACCTCATCATCCTCCACATCATCTTCCACCCACTCCTCAACCCTGCCCTCCTTGCCGGTCTGCACACTGCAGAAAGCCACAGCAGTTGGCACCTGTGTTTTTCCAGCATGTAAACTCTGCAAAGGACATATGGGAATTGTTTTAGAATTGTACCCAGGCAACAGTTTTCCCTATAAACTGACCTCTCAGTTTGATTTGTGAGGGTATTGCCCCCAAATTACAATATTGTTATATTGGTATTTGACGCTTTTATTTGACTCTCAGATATGAAGTGCACACTCCAAATGTACTATTTAGCACCCAAAACAATTAGAATTTTTCAAAGTGCGCCGTAAGCACAGTGTTTGACGGTTCTATTTGACTGCAAGATATGAAGTGCACCGCAGGACGCAAATGTACTATTTAGCATTAGCACCCAAAACAATTTGAATTTTTCAAAGTGCGCTGAAAGCACAGTGTTTGACGGTTCTATTTGACTGTAAGATATGAAGTGCACCTCAGGACGCAAATGTACTGTTTAGCATTAGCACCCAAAACGATTAGAATTTTTCAAAGTGCGCTGAAAGCACAGTGTTTGACGGTTCTATTTGACTGTCAGATATGAAGTGCACCGCAGGACACAAATGTTCCATTTAGCATTAGCACCCAAAACAATTAGAATTTTTCAAAGTGCACTGAAAGCATATTGTTTGACGGTTCTATTTGACTCTCAGATATGAAGTGCAGGGCCCAAATTTACTATTTAGCAAATTAGCACCAAAACAATTAGAATGTTTACAATTGCGCTGTAACCGTAGTATTTGATGCTTCTATTTGACTTTCAGATATGAAGAGCACGCCCCAAATGTACTTTTTAGGAGCAAAAAAATGGGAATTTGTCAAAGTGCACTGTAAACACAGTATTTGACGCTTCTATTTGCCTCTCAGATATGAAGTGCAGGGCCCAAATTTACTATTTAGCAGATTAGAACCCAGAAAATTAGAATGTTTACAATTGCGCTGTAACCGCAGTATTTGACGCTTCTATTTGACTCTTAGATATGAATATACTTTTTAGCACCCCAAAAAATGTAAGTTTTAAAACTGCAATGTGACAGCAGTATTTGATGCTTCTATTTGACTCTCAGATATGAAGTGGTCACCCCAAATGTACTCTTTAGCAGTTTAGCACCAAAACAATTCGAATGTTTACAACTGCGCTGTAAGCGCACTATTTGACGCTTCTGTTTGACTCTCAGATATGTAGAGCAGGCCCCAAAATGTACTATTTAGTAGATTAGCAGCAAAACAATTAGAATGTTTACCACTGCGCTGTAAGCACACTATTTTAAGTTTTACAACTGCGGTATTTAACGCTTCTATTTGACTCTCAGATATGAAGTGCACCCCACTAATGTACTAGTTTGCAGAATTCTTTCCTAATCTGTCCCTGAAAGCAGCAGCATCCTCTCCCTACACTAATAAGACCGCATGTGCATGCGGCGCTACGTGACTCCAGCTTATATATAGAGGCTGGGTCACATGCTGCACTGGCCAATCACAGCCATGCCATTAGTAGGCATGGCTGTGATGGCTTCTAAGGGCACACGAGTCAAACGCTTGTTGATTGGCTGCCCTGCAGCCTTCCAAAACGCACCATTAAATCGCCTAACTCTTTACAGTCCGGGTTCGCTCAACTCTAAGTAGGACATTCCCAAACAGACAGAAAATATGATTATTGCACTCACTATTTTATTTTTCAGACACACGTGCTCCTGCGCATGTCATGTAGGAATCATATAGAGGAAAGGTCTGTGGGAGAATTATGTGAGATGAAATGGAGTTACACTTACAATAGTCTGAGTATTCCTATCATTGATGCCGTGTTATAGATTACTCCTACTGCGATACAGACATGGGTTACCAATGGCAAATCATGATGGAACCTAGGTTGTTTTGGTCCTTGGAATATCTCTTTAAGCAGTATGATTTGTTACATTTACTGAGCATAATTTATCACCTGGATACTATTTTCTATTGCCCCTAATTAATATCAGACCAGAGTTACTGTATCCATGGCAGTTACACATATTGCTATATGTTATAGGTTGGGGAAGGCTGGCAGACAGGTGGTTTACCAGATATGTAAACCTATAATTGTCCAATGTATCACTGCTCTTTGTTAGACTGTTATTATCTATTTACGCCGTTCTGTCCACATCAATCAGTAATCTATAGCACAGGTAGCATAATATCGATCGATATTGTTTGCTTGTCATTTATTTCCTTTCATCGAGTGCAGAATGCAGTTCAAGAACAAGATATTCTGAGCTCTACATACATAGTCACATTTATGACCATCCTGAGATAAACCGGGCCTTATCACGTCACTCATGTAAATAAACGTTCTGAGTACTTCCTTGAAAATCTCTATCCTCACATTAATAGGACAAAACACACAAAGCGATCAGGACTAGCTAGTCATGGAAGCCAAAATGGGATGTTTGAGATTTCAATAAGCAGGTAGAAGCTTAAAGGACCACTATAGTGCCAGGAAAACATACTCGTTTTCCTGGCACTATAGTGCCCTGAGAGTGGGGATCTCCGATCCTCCTCATCTCCTCCCCGTCGGCTGAATGCGCACCCGCGGCAAGAGCTGCGCGCGCATTCTGCCGGTCGCATAGGAAAGCATTATCAATGCTTTCCTATGGACGCTTGCGTCTTCTCACTGTGATTTTCACAGTGAGAATCACGCAAGCGCCTCTAGCGGCTGTCAATGAGACAGCCAATAGAGGATTTGGGGGAAGGATTAACCCATTCATAAACATAGCAGTTTCTCTTCATTAAGCTGAAGTGGTCTGGGTGCCTACAGTGGTCCTTTAATTGAATGAAGTGAACAAAAGTAAATAAACACAATCAGAATGTAACTACCCATAATGTTTAATATTATGTTTACTTATTCCTATGTTTAACAAATATATATTTGTGAAACATAAAATTCCATGTAGAATCCCACACTCTTTTTCTGCAACTAGACGACTCCATCTTGTCTCCCTGTCATTGTTTTAAGTACTGTCCAGTTCTGTTGTCCTGCCAGTCAGCATAGAGAGAGCAGACAGAGAAGAGGAGAAATTAAACCATGTTCATGGATTGTCAAAAAAAAAAAACAATTCACACTAGTGTTAAGGGATTTTCAATGTTTTATTGAATAGTTTAAATTCCACAAAAGTGGGACAAAACCAGTCAAAATATTTGGTTAACCAACACACACAGTTAATGATCAGATAAAAATATATATGATAATATATGATGTCATCGAGCAGTTTTCCAATTGTATTCAAATGTAAGAACTGCCAACATAACCTTTAGAAGTGTGGGATTTGTTAGATTCATAGTGACTTGTTGTTAGTAAAAGATATCACACTATCATCAACACCAATGTTCTCTTCAACTACCCATTAAATGCCATATTGTTTAAAGGGATAGTTTAGGCATCATAAGGCACCACTACAGGAGGACCCTAGGCGCATTCATAACCTCAGCGGTTAAACCCTTTTTTTTGCGTTAAACCATTTAACCTCGAAGTTGCCTCCAGTGCCAGTCTCAGCTCCCCCTCAGGCAGCATCCAACTTCTGTAATTTTTTAAATGTATTTATCATTATTATATTTCAGAATTATTTTATATCACATTGTATCCCCAAGATTTATTTTAGCAAAACAGGGTTAAAAAAATATGGAAAAAACAAAGGTTTATAGGCACTCTCTATAGTACAACAAATAAGTGAGGGCTGCTGTATACAGTACAAGGATTCCCAAAACCTTGTGTAATAGTGAAACAAAGATAGAATATGGCGTATACTGCGCCCAAAATCATACGTACATACAACTGCAGAAGAGGGGGCTGTTAGATAGGAGTCTATAGGGATCCGAGCAGCGTGGAGCCAGGTATTTAACAGCCCCCTCTTCTGCAGTTGTATGTACGTATGATTTTGGGCGCAGTATATGCCATATTCTATCTTTGTTAAAAAAATAAGGCATTGGTTTAAAAGGACACTAAAGGCACCCAGACCACTTCACCTCATTGAAGTGGTCTGGGTACAGTGTCCCTGTCTGTTTAACCCTGCAATGTAAAACAGTTTACAGGCAGCCACTAGAGGTGCTTCCTGGTGAATGTTGGACATCCTCACGTTTTGCAGCACCAAGGTAGCCTCCATGCTGTAATTAAGGTAAATAAAAAGGTTTTTTAACCCTTAATTCATGGGGGGGAGCGGACCTAAAAAACTAGGGACACTATAGCCTTAGGAATACAGGTTTGTACTCCAAAGGCTATAGCATTTCTTTAATATTTTTATATAAGCTTTCCAAACTATTTAATGTTTTTAATAAAATTTAATATTTTTATATAATTTTTTTTTAAATAAATTTTCTTTATTTTTGGTTCAATTCACATACTTAGCACAGCAGTTCAATTAAGACAATAAGAGTTGGTAGACACTTAATAATACAAGCACATGACAAGGCGCAGTAAGGAAATTGCATGACCAACAGTGAATTGAAAGTTAGGTTAAATTATCTTGGAGCACGTACATATGTACTGGATGCATTGCTGGTATTAGGAGTTTTACACCTGACTATCAGTGTGGTCTAGTGATCAATCAGTATGAGAGTGAGAAATGATCCTGGAATACGCAGAGGTAACTACAAGCATAGTGAAAACAAAAACGTCGAAAAAACGAAACAAAGTTGAGCCAAGTTCTATTAGCATATTTAAGTTCTGACTGCTTCATATGCGTCCAGTGTGGACTTCCGTAGGACAAACGTGATTCTCGCAGGATCCCATCGGTGAGTGGCAGATGTGGACACTCGGGGTTTGGCTGGTGCAAGAGAGCTCCTGTGGGTGCCCCAGAGTGGCTTAAAGGGTTGCCCCTGTGATAGATTATGCACTGCGCTCTGAGAGTCGCCAGTGGTACTGGATGCTGTGCTTCCTGAGTAGGGTTGTGAATGTTCTTAGGGATCTACTCCATGCCAATGTGCCTCCCGGTCAGCGTAGAACTTAAGTGACATTCCTTTGAACATATATGGCAGTAGCTCTTTAATAGTCGCTAGTACTGACATTTTGTCTTTGGTATTCTGAAATTGGACAAGCAGGACACATGGAGCTGTGTCTGGAGCTCTTGATGATGTGGGAATACGAAAGCAGACTGCTGCCTTAGCATAATGTGGAGCTAGTAAAGCCACTAAAAGGCACCTCAACATCTGGCCTGTCAGGTCCAGGGAATCAATTCTCAGTGTTGCCACATCAGTCAATATGTCAGTTTGCAGGAGAGCCTGCCATCGTCACAGGTGAGGTATCTGGATCAGGAGGCCCCGGCATCGGTAAAACAGCTCCTTTCTCCCCCAGGGACAGTTCATCAGAGAATTTGGAGTAGGCCCCTGGATAGTCGGCCATCTTGGGTGTAGCCATGCCTCGTTTCTGGCGCAGGAGGTCTCCGATATTAAGGCACATCCAATGTTTATTTGACTTTTGTCTTTTGGTCTTCTGACTCATTGTGTCTCTGCCACCTCGCTCCTGTGCCACCAGCTGTCCAAATCCAGGTTCGATGCCCAAAAGAAGCGAGAAATAACTGTGAGTGCACAGTGCTCTGTGAGACCATTCGGCTCTGCTGCTATACTCCGCCCCCAATATTTTTATATATTTATATATTTTTTTAAATATATGACAGATTTTTTTTGACCTTTTAACATTTTCAAAAATTCATTTTAAAAGTGTACCCCAAAAATATTACATCATTTGAAAAATGTTTATCCTAAAATTTACACTGGAGACCTAAGCTGGAAAAAAAAGAGAGAAAATATTTAAAGAACATAATACTCAATATGTGCCAGAAAGAGAATTTATTCACTTCCTTTTATAGCTCAAGGAAAGCGTACAGAATTAATTGTATTTATTTTGGTGACTTATTTGTTTTTTTCAGTTCCCCTCATACTACAGCTGTGTCAGCATTTGGGTTCCGTGCAGGTAGATATACAGGTATAGTTTTGAATCAAAGCATGTACCTGATTGATGTGGAGACCCACTCCCTCTAGAATGGACACTCGTTTGAGCAGGGACCTCAACACCTTCTGTTCCTGTGCGTCCAACTCGTCTTGTTGTAAATACATGTCTGTTAGTGCACCTATTGTACAGCGCTATGAATTTGTTGGCAATTTATAAATAATAATAATAATAATATGTTTCCATCAATGTTTCAAAAAGATCTGCTTGTATTGTATGGATTTGCTGTGCTCTGGGTTCAATGGATAATGATCTGCCTAAATATTCACTTATATTGTTTAATTTTTTCGTAGTTATTTGATTGTTTCTTGCATTTTGATCATTTAAAAAAAACCAAAAAAAACATTTTTATATATTTGAAGTTTGTTGTGTCTCATGCCCGTCTGGATACAGTTTCTGTATGCTGTACTGTGGCTGAGGTGAGTATCAGTCCATTTCAGGATAGAGCACGATTTCTGTATTGTTTTTGATGATTTTTGTACACTGACCGTTATTACAAAGGTAAAGTGTGCTTTGAAGTTTTGATTTTCCTGTATATTCTCTGACAATCTCCACTGAACAAACACTACAACGACAGTTACCTCAGCAGAGAGCAAAGATTGTTCCAAAAGAATGGCTGATAATTAACCTAACCTTCAAGTAAAAGTGGGTGGAAAAAGCTTTGTTATAATAGAACTTTCACTTTCCCATACACTATATGTTTAACTTATTTGTCACATCAGTTGCCTTAGTCGTCAACGCAGCAGAGTCAAATAGGGTGAAAATTGGTTTGGTTCCCACCAGGATCAGCATAGTTGGAAACCCAAAGTACACTATACTTCCGTTTATACTTTTCCGTTTTTCACAACAGGTGACTTGTTGGGACAAACACAATATATTGTCCAAAGAGGACGAGTGACTGTCCTGGCAAATCAATTTATTGAGTTCAAAGCTTGTAAACTGCCACAATCTCCTGGAAAATGCCATGCGCATAGCTCAAATGTTTCCAAACTTGGTCATCCGTAGGTCCCATATTGTATTACTTGTAATTGAATTCTGAAACCTTGTGAAGTCTTCTGTTCAATTTTGAGATTTAGCCAGGTTCCCAAAATGTAACCACGAATAAACAAAAACTCAGTCCTCTGATATCACCCACAAGCATTGAAATAATCATCCACCTTGCTACAACCTCAACAAAGGTGAACAATCAGGAAATATATGGTTGAGTTTAACTGGATCGTTCACAATTTTCTTTGATCTGTCAGGTTGATATATGAAAACACAGAATACATTAATCACTAAGGAAAATAATAACTTAAAGTCCAAGGCAAACAATCTAGACACAGGCTAGACGAAGGCAAGGTCAAACGAATCCAAAAAGTCAAAATCCAGGCAGCAAGGTTCAGGAGCAGAGTGACAATCCAAAGGTCAGGTATCCAGAAAAATCTGAATAAAACAGCCAAGTGTTCTCTGATAAACAGCACAGGACAACTGAACGATGAAAGCTCAGTTGTTTGGTGTTAAAATAGGGTGCCTAACTTTGCCACAACCCATACAGCACACCCCCATACTGCCTACATAGTAGGGTAGATTGGGTTGCTATGAGGACCTTGGGAGGTTATCTTTAATTGTAGCTGCGCCCCGTTGACTGATCCGCGGCTTGTATTTGGCACGCATGTCTCTCTGGCATCTGGCAACTTGCGTTGCCTGGTGGGGGTGGGGGGAGCGTTCTGCACAGGGGGTGCCATACTCTGTACCTCCTGCTGGTTCAGCCATAATAACCTCTCCCTCATGGCTACGGCAGACCAGAATTTTAAGCCTGTGTTCTGACTCACACTGAGCAGCAGGGAGGTTATTTTGGAGTGTACCAGCAGGGGGGCAGAGCCAGGTTGCTCCCACGCTGCCACTCTAAACATGCAGGAGATCAGAGTCCAGCTCTCTAGATACCCTGCCCCTTGGATCCAGGGTCCTCACCTACTGCACTGCCTGACTGTGGAATGGAGCTGCTTGGTAAGCAGCCACCACATGGTGAGAGACAGCCCCTGCTGCTCCTGCACCCTCCTAAATGGTGAGTTAATGCTATTATACAATATTTGTAAATTCACCCTGTGACATCCCCCTCCCACCATCCCTGCCATTATACCCACACCCTTCCTGCTGTGATGGAATTTCGGTAAAATGTAAATTTAGTAGGCCGAGATTTCCACGTGGCATATGTGTATGTTGTATCAGTTAGTTAGTTACACGTAACTAAGATACTGTCATTAATGTACTGAGCATGTGCAGGAATGCAGGAACTGAAATCACACTACTTTCTCCTTTGTTTCGGATGGGCCATGTGGTCTGCCCATATGAGGAAATCCAAATCCTGTCCACTGATTGGTTAAGGGTATGTGCGGGTGGAGCTATTAATGGCAGGAGTTATAGTTCTATAAAAAGCATGTACTCCATGTGTTTGTCCCTCAGACCTGTTTTGGAACGTTAGTTCATCTGAGGCCCGATCGGTATGTTAATAACCTCTTACTTCCTGAAAACCTGCATCCATCTCTCTGTGTCTGGCTTCTGCAAGTTTACTCGGTTACAATACCATATAGCCCCCCACTCACCATGCCATATATACCCACACCCTCCCTGCCATATATCCCCCCACTCTCCCAGCCATTATACCCACACCCTACCTGCCATTATACCCACACCCTCCCTGCCATTATACCCCAATCCCCACTTTTTCATAATACCCTCCCTGCCAAATACACCCCCACCTTGTCATAATACCCTCCCTGCCATATACACCCCCACTTTGTCACAATACCAGGGCCGGCCTTAGGGGTGTGAGAGCTGTGCGCCATGGGAGCAGGGGGTGCTGTGCGGCTGACACACCTCACATATGGCCAGCCGGGATAAAAAAATATATATATATTGTGGCGGGGGCGCAGCTTACCGTGCAGTGGGGACAGAGCTAAAAGTGCCGGGTAACTGCTGCAGGGGAAGCAGGAAGGAGTCCCTGCTTCCCCAACAAACAGTCTCCAGGAACTGCACTACTTCCACCTCCATAATGAACAGAGATAACTATGTGTGATTGTCTGACTGTGTGTGTGTGTGTGTGTGTGTGTGACTGTCTGCTTGTGTGTGTGTATGACTGTCTGCGTGTGTGTGTGTGTGTGTGTGTGTGTGTATGACTGCATGTGTGTGAGACTGTCTGTGTGTGTGTGTGTTTGGCTGTCTGCCTGTGTGTTTGTGTTTGGCTGTCAGCCTGTGTGTTTGTGTGTGGCTGTCTGTGTGTGACTGCCTGTGTGTGTGTTTGTGTCTGTCTGTCTGTCTGCCTGTGTGTATGTGTGTGGCTGTCTTGTGTGTGGTTATATGCCTGTGTGTGTGGCTGTCTTGTGTGTGGTTGTCTGCCTGTGTGTGTGTGTGTGTGCGTGTGTGTGTGTGTGTGTCTGCCTGTGTGGCTGTCTGCATGTAAGTATGTGTGTGTAAGTCAGACTGTATGTGTGACTGTGTGTGGCTCTCTTCCTGTAATTGTGTGTGAGTGTGTTTATCTGCGTGTAACTGTGTACGTGTGTTACTGCCTGTACCTGTGTGTTTCTGCGACTATCTGCCTGTGACTGTGTGCATGTGGTGTATTTGACAAGTGTATATGTATAACTGTGCATCTGACTGTGGGACTGTGTGCACATAACATATTTTTATCTGAATTAAACACCCATCACACACAGCCAATAAACCCAGCACAAATATCACATACAAGCAATACACGTATATCACACACAGTTAATACACCCATTACAAATATCACACACAACCAACACATAGCATAAATATCACACACAGTCATCATACCTATCACATACATAGACAACACAAACATTACATCATATTATAGTGAGATTTATTACAGTGGAGCTCTGGTATATAAAATGCACATTACTCTGTGTTTTATAGTTAAGGAGCTCGGTGATACACTAATAGAAACATTACTTAGAGTTGTTTTGTTGTGTAGTGTACGATATTGTCACAGAGCTCCACATTACTGGGAGTTTTATTGTTGTGGAGCTCTGTGATAAACAGAGAAGCAGCGCATTACTACACAATTTTTATTCCAAAGAGGTCAAGGTAAATAAGTATAATCCAGAGCTCCAAAGCAAAATCACTCACAGTATTATGTGACATACTTCGTCTGCTCCTCAGTAATGTAGGAGAGACAGTCTGGAACTTCTGGACTGCACTTCTGTTGGCTGCAGACCATAAGTAGCTGTCTTCCTAGCTTGGGATAATCAGAGCGCTGCCGTAGATTACCATAGGACACTGCAAGTCCCTGAGCTTGCGAGACAGTTACGCATGGTCTGTACCCAGTGGGGGGCAGACCAGATTCAGATTAACATGCCCCTCTCCAAACTAGGTAACAACAGGAAAGGAGGGATGAATATTTCTTTTAAAATCATTATTAATTTAATAAATCCCCTATACAATCACTTCACTCCTATACACACACTATACATAGATGACGGGGGGAG